TTAATAAATTACTTTCCATATATAAAATGTGATTCACATACAGTACAAAATGGCGCAGGATACCGTAAGTGCTTCCTCTTTTTCCTTCTCTTCCTCCCTTCCATCTACCTGCTTCTCTAGCTGCTGCTTTTGTCTTCTGCTTAATCTATTTCTGCAAACCTACAGTCACTGTCCCTGGGCCACTGCAAAAGCGGAAGCAGCAGCCACGATTACCCCCGGTTACTGTCTTCCTCAAAAACTGTTGGGCAGTGTCAACCCTCTACCTAGCTATGGCTTTTTCATTTAGAAGCAGATTCTTTTAATTATGTCATAGAATATCAGCTTTCTATATTGAGTAATGATTCTTTTTAATGGCATATAAACTCCAACACAAATTGAGCAGTCTGGGCAGTCTTTGTGACAAAATAATGTATGAATCTATATAAATGGAAAAAGAACCCCCACATACAGCATATATAAATACACAAATTCCACTTCCACGCTTTCAAAGGTTTCATGGGTACTACCCAACAGTAAAAGCAAATACGAATCATGATATGTTTTTTGCGCAACTGGTAATAAAAGTATTGATTTTATATCTGACCCAGCTCTCAAAATTGTATCTTTATATTTTCTAAGAAACAATATGATTATAGCTGTGTCTGACATGCATGCTGTTGTGAAACTGAACCAGTTATATGTAGTGTCTCCTTTGCAGTACTTGCAATTTATAACCTCTGACATTTGAAATTCACTCAGGACTTTCTATTGTAGCTCTTCATCTTAACAAATCCACAAGGCAGCAAATGTTCTGAGCCCATCTTTTGGAATCATACCCAAAATATTTCCTCTTGAAAGATGATAATATGTGGTGTCTGTGTGTGTTTGATGATTCTTATCATTTTCCTGAGATTTAAAATGGCCTTCAAAATGAAATTTATCATGATTTGTTCCTCTGATTGGTCGGACACAAGACAAGGCTCCTCTGAGAAGCACCAGAGCAAAAAGATGTTGGAAAGAGTTCAGTAATCCTATTGGCAGTGCTTGCAATCAGATACTGAGACTTTGGAGTGAACTAAATAAGCTCTCTCGATCATGTCTCCATTGTCTTTCACGGCTTTGATTTTCCCTTGAACGATAGGCAGATTCCCTGATTTTTCTCTCCCTTCTTCTTGTGTCCTTGAAGAGAATCTATGAAGAGAATCAGATATTCTTTCGTCTCTACAGGGCTCTGGAAATCATGTGCAGGCAAGATTTTTTCCTTTGGAAATGTGAATGTATTTACCTCAGCTAGTGAATATCACTCTCAAGTAGAATGCTACAGTAGAATACAATGGGTTCAGAAAGAGCAAAGGAAGTATAAGAATAAACAGTAAAAATAACTGTCTGGACTATAGCTGCATTCTGTCTCTCACAGTTCTGGGCCACATGTTTCAGTGGCTGATTGAGCATATGCTGAAGCAGGTAACTAAGCAATGCAGTACTAGGAGTACCACTGACTGCTTCTCTGAAGAAGGCTGAAAAAAGGCAAAGATAGGAAGAAAAAGAAGAAAAAGAGGCCTACCTTCCTTCTAGCAACATTCTGAATTCATCTGGTTAATTTTTTACTCCCTTGGTTGACATTAAGGGTTTTCTTGGCTTGTACGTTCTTCCTCTCTCTTTTTTTTTGGTCCTCATTGCTAGCACCATAGTGTGCAGATCCTTCCTTCTCCCTGACTTGATCTCAATGCAGGATGATACGTTTAGCGTTGCTTTGGGAAAAAAATCTTTTCTTGAAGCAAGAATCCTTATAATTTATGGCACGTGTCAAAAATTCAGGCATAGTGGTTTTAGAAGTCTTTGCTGTTGTAAAATCTGACCTTGTGAGTGAGTGGTACACTGCATTTTTCAGCTTTGTTTCTCTGCCTGAGGTCTACTAGAAGTCAGAGGCTTTTGCACATAGGAGAATATGGTTACTTTCTCCAAGGGAGTAGATCGTCAAGTTGGACCGTTTATAGATAAATTTCAGCTTATTGCAAAATATCAAACCTAATAAAACGCCAAGCAGTAAATATTTTGATGAAGTCAATTGGCATGTTAAGAAATTGAACACTTTCTTTGAACAGATTTTGTGTTCTTCTTTTTTTTTTTTCTCAACAACAGTAGTAAGAACTTACTTTTGCAGATGCCTTGTGGCTCTTGCATGGGTGCACAGATGATGGGCGGGGCATATACTGATGCACTTCTTAGGTGGGCAAATCCAGATGTGTTCATCACATGGCAGTGGCTCTCCTGCTGTGTGCTCTGGAGTAACCTCACTGATGATGGTAATAGGATGTTGGGAAGACACCAATGGAGGTGACTCATGGCTTTAGTCCCCTTGTAAACCTTCCTTTGCCTGAGCCGGAGTTCTTTATTTTGGAACAGCTGGATTGTGGCAGTCGTGGATGTTTAGGACTAGGAGATGGAGAAAAAGATTGCCTCTACTGCAGGGGACTTCTTGGTAATCGGTAGAGCCTAAGGGGTAAAAAGGACAGAGCACTCTCTGCTTTTTGAAATAATGTTGCATCTTGTGACTTGCTAAGCTACTAAGGGAGTGTCTTGCTAGTTTAGGCATGGAGTTTGCTTCCAACCACCTGTCAGTGCTTGAACAGATAGGTAGGAAATTCACCCAGCTTTTATTGTTAAAACTGAAACCGTGTGTTTTGTGATTTCATGCTTTTTGTGATTGCAGTTGGCAGCCCCTAGGGTTTCTGGAATTAGGAATGGAAACCTTTGGAGCTCTGCGTTAGTTCTATTTACCGTTTTCCTAAGTAATCCGTAGTAAGCAGTTTGTACTATTTTTAGTGTTATGCTTTTTTTTTTTCCTGTCAGGTCCTTCAGAGCTGATGTTAAAAGCTTTCTTTTACTATTGACATTGAAAAGATGTTATTGTACTTGTTTTAAGAGTGCAAGGTAGTCCTGATACGGTTGGCAGCAATTTCTCTGCTCCTGTTTATATTCCCATGCATGGCTAAATTCTACAGTTTTTTTAAATATAGTTCTGTAAAGTAATTTTGATCTTGCTTCAAGAAAGCATTTAAAGTGCTAGATGTATGTTAAGAATCAGATATCTTGATCTCAAAACATATACTTTGAAGGCTGCCTGTCCACTTGGTGACTGGATGTAAATATCCAGGAAAACAAACAAAAAGACCCTCACTATTTTCTCTCACTTCTGAGTTGCTTAAGACTCTCACTGAGGGGCATGAGTTAGCTATGTGTTTCCTTTCCTGATTTTTCCACCAGGCCTAGATCTACAAGATCAGCCCTCAAACAAAGCAGAGTAATCAAAGAAGGGCATGTCATTGTTTCAATTCAATGGTTAGAAAAGTAACTTGGATTATAGGAGACAAAGCATCCAGTCCCTCAGTTGCTGAGGGGACTCGAGGACTGGGTCATATCTTCTACCATAGTGTCCTAAATTCCAAGTAGCAGGGCATTTCATGGTTGGGATTCTCTCAGCCTCTGCTACTGAAGCCATTACTGCTTACATGAAAAAAATTAAATATTTATTTTAGGCCACAGACAGTAAATAGAATGGATACTTGGGCAGAAAGGTTCCTTGGGATGCAATTCAGTAATGGGGGAAGAACTTGGTTTCTGGTCTCTGTTTCAGTTCATTTTAAATCTTTGCATAGAAAAAAATAGCAAAGGCAACTGGCAAGGTGGAGGAATGCATCCCAATCTCCCAAATAGTGTATAGGCACATGACTGGGCTTGAATGTGGGAGAAATAACCCATCAGGAAAAAGAGAAATTTAAAAGTAACACTCTTAGATCTGAGGAAATTGCTGTAGCCCTTAGGGTATTAAGCCAGAGAAGAACTGGCACCAGTCGGATTGTTTTGTATGTCCTGAGTAGTGACGCTTTCCTTAACTGGCATCTTTGAAGTTAAAAATGCTCTGTGCACATATAAAATATTTCCTTAATATGCACAGCTGATAGCCATAAGGGATCACAGTTCTTTATATCATTTTGGTTGAATGCAAAATTATTGATCCCAAGCTAGGAAATCAGCATAGAGCTGTGCTCCCTCTTTTCATTCTCCTCCTCATTCCGTTTTATTGAAAATATTTCTGGCTGGACTAACAGCTCCACTGAGACCCTAATGGCTGAGTGCACAGAGCAGCTTCATGCAGGCGCACAAGTCGGCAGGAAAAGATACGATGAGTTCCAGACACTGAAGCTCTTATAAGTGTCAAACTCCTGACAAGTGATTTCAGTGCCTGATCCTGCTGTAAGTGAAGTGATGCTTTAATTTGCAATTGAATGACAAAATCCTCAAGTCATCCTTATCTCCTGAGTAATTGAAGAAAGACTCTGCAGTGTAAAAACTCATTATGACTCTTCTGTGTCATTTTCCACCTTTGGAAAGGAATTTTTTTTTATTATCATCGTACCCCTCTCTAGTCTGTTTTTATTAGCACTGAGCTGCAAAATGAGAGATATACACCTTGATTATGTGAATGTATTTACAGATAAAACTGAAGATTAAAAAATGAATTCCGTATTACATCTGTGCTAATTCCAAAAATCCTCTCTACCAGTGATCATTGCACTTTATAATAGTTTCTTTTAAGCTGTGATGAGAAAATAAAATATAATCATTCTCTGAAAATGTTACTTATTGCTGTCCATACCAGAAGAGGAGATCTTTTCATAGTAATTTTACTAGTGGAGATTGGTCTAAAGAAATAATGTAATGAAGTAAGTCAAGATAAAATCTAAAATCTGAAACTTTGAAATGGGAGACATAGAATGCTTTCTACCATTTGTATATGCTTCTCTGCGTTTCCTGGAGCTGGGGAACGGTATTTTTTGAGCGCTCTTTGCCCTGTTAGAACTTTTAAGCAGTGCTGGAAGCCTTTCAGGAGAGGGATTTCTCTCTTGTGGGAAGCTGAAAAAGTAGCACTGCTCACTGAGTCGTTCGTCTGTAGAAGGTAGATTAGGAACTAGCTGGCAGCTCAGTTACAGAATTATCTGCACATGCAGTGGGCTAGATTCACTGATATGTTATGAGCACTTTGTGCCATTTTGGCTGGCTGAAATGGCATTCATGATTGCTTTCTTTTTTTCTAGAGTGTCTGAGAGAAAGTAAGACATGCTAGCATATTCTCTGCATTATTTATGCTATCGTTTTGCAGGTTACCATAGGGATACAGCACACACAGAAATGAGACTCGAAGAGAATGAGGAGGAAGACAGAGAAGCTTCAGGGCCAGGAGGGTTGTGAGGACTTTCCTCTGCAACGGCGCAGTAACGGAGATGGTCTGGAGCCTGATGCACCTCAAGTGTCAGCCTGTGCTTGGATGCATCAAAGGATGAATTCGAAGGAGAACGTGTTGCCAGTGGAAGCACACGACCCACTGTGCATCTTTCTGGATTATGAATTGTAAAGCAAGTGGAACAGATCCCGGGCTGAGCTCTGCAGCTCTGATGATGGGAGAAGTAAGCATAAGTTGTTTTGACCTCTTACTTATTTTTTTATTTCTAGACCTGGTCATTGTCCTATCCCTGCACAAGGTGTTTACGCTAGCCTCA